ATGAGAGAGTGGGGCAGGGAAAGAGAAAGAGAGGGGGAAAGAGGGGGAGGGAAAGAGAGAGAGGGGGAAAGAGAGAATGAGAGAGAGGGAGGGAGGGAAAGAGAGAGAGAATGAGAGAGAGAAGGGAAGAAAGAGAGGGAGGGAAAGAGAGAGGGGGGAAATAGAGAGAGCAGGAAAAAGAGAATGAGAGGGAGGGAGGGAAATAGAGAATGAGAGAGAGAAGGAAAGAAAGAAAGGGAGGGAAAGAGGGAGGGAAACAGAGAGGGGGAAAGAGAATGAGAGAGAGAGGGAGGGAAGGAAATAGAGAGAGAGAGAATGAGAGAGGGGGGGCAGGGAAAAAGAAAGAGAGGGGGAGGGAAATAGAGAGAGGGGGAAAGAGAATGAGAGAGAGGGAGGGAGGGAAATTGAGAGAGAGAGAATGAGAGAGAGAAGGAAAGAAAGAGAGGAAGGGAAAGAGAGAGAGAGAGGGAAAGAGAGACCCATTTCCCACAGAAAACACTGGGACCCACAAAACCTGGGTAGGTGTGATGGGGTGGGTGGATCATGTGACTGGGTGGGAGTGATGTCGACTTGGCCACGTCCACTCAGGTTTAGTGGCTCCCGGTGTTTTCTTTTCTGTGGGAAACAGGCAGGGGTGGGATTCTACCTTGTCAGACCGGTTCTGTAGAACCAGTTGTTACTATTCTGCCCAGTTCGGAGAATCGGCAAATCGCGCTACTGGTTGGCCCCGCTCCTCTCTGTGCACTCCTTACCTGGCATACGCGCCATCCAACTTGCCTGCGTTTGGCAAGTTGCTATTTTTCCTTTTCCCCCCCTTTCCCGACCATCAGCTGTTCTGCTGTGCCGGGAGACTTAGATTAGCTAGAAAGCAGGAAATATTTGGATTTTTTGCTTTCTAGCTAATCTAAAAGCAGAGCCAAACCTTCCTTAGGACTGAAGCTTCTATTTTTCAGTGCAGACTCGGGCAGCAGATTGCAGAAAAGTAGATCTCTGAATGAATCTGTGATTCTGTGAGCAACTCAATCTGCCTGACTGCTTTGCCTGATTTTGGGCAAAAGTTGTTCTTTTTTTTTTTTTAAATGAAAAATTAAATATTTACATACATGGTGCTTTGTGAGTTAACTTTGTGCGTTTGCTTGCAAGCAAATTTTATGTGACAGACTCAGGTAGCCAGTTGCAGATAGATAGATCTCTGAGTGAATTTTTTGATTCTGTGAGAAAACTCAATCTGCCTGCCTGCTTTGCTGGATTTTGGGTAAAAAAATGCTTTTATTTTAATAAAACAAAAATCAATATTTACCTAAATATTTATAATAATTGCATACAAGCCACGGCCAGCCAGTCACATGACCACTAAGCCACACCCACCAATTAGGCCACGCTCAACAGAACCGGTTGTTAAGACATTTGAATCCCACCCCTGGAACGGGTCCAAATGGTTCGTTGAGTGTTTAAGGTTGCAGACCTCTGGCATGGAGTGTGTGCGTGTGTGGGGGGTGGACTAGAAGATCTCTGAGGCACCTCTCTGACTCTGCCATTCTGTAACTCCCCGCAGGCACCAACATGTTGATGGTGGGCGTCCACGGGCCCAAGACCCCCTGCGACGAGGTCTACGTCAAGCACATGGGCAACCGGGTCTACAGCGTCACTTACACCGTCAAAGAGAAGGGCGATTACATCCTCATCGTCAAGTGGGGGGACGAAGGCGTGCCCGGGAGCCCCTACCAAGTCAGCGTGCCCTAGGAGTGGGGGGGGGGATGGAGCCCTCCCTACCCCTGCCTCCCACTCCCCTTGACCTCCCCCTGCCCAGAACTGTCATACCCTCGACCTGCTCACCCGCGACCAAGGCGGGGACGAGGGGACGAGACGCGACCGTCGGACATTCGCTTGGTTCGTTGAGTTGGACATTGGCGTTTTGAGGATTTCTCCAGGCACATCGTGGGGGGGGGGGGGGG